AGTTTGGTGTGATTCGAGTATAGTACTCAATGTATACTCTTCACATATCCTGTAAACTATGTATAGACTCGTCTCAATTTACGTTAGCGGGATTATGGAAAATGTGTGCACCAAGTTGGTCAACTTTGGGTAATGCTGCAGGGGGTGTCAACTTATGCTGCATAGGCAGTTTGAGTTTTGACAGCATACTAGCTTAACACTTTGCAGTCTGCCTGTCTGTTAACGCTAAATTTAGCATTCTTCTTTGCTCTTTTATTCTCCCAGACGAGCAAAAACCAGATAAAGGTGGATCTGGTGGATGAAAACTTCACAGAACTTAAAGGGGAGATAGCAGGGCCACCTGACACACCATATGAAGGTGAGAGGCTGGTTGAATCACACTGTTGTCTGTTAACCTGTACACAGTGTTCCTCACATTTGTCGTGATTTATTAGATGTTAGAGACAACAACTTGAATATTGAGAGGCCTTCGCCAACTAATTATTTCAGTGACTTTTAATCTCTAATATTGTAAGATAAAATAATGTATATCTTAACCGTTACCCTTGTGAAATATCCTGTCATACTTAATGAATAATTTGTGATACATCTCATTTCTTCCAGGTGGTAGATATCAACTAGAAATTAAAATTCCAGAGACTTATCCTTTCAATCCACCTAAGGTAGTGGTTCATTACTGTTATTGTTACTGATAGCTGTTCTTGTGGACATTGGCTTCAGAAATGTAATATTGCTGTGGTAATCCATAAATGATTTTCTTAGTCCCATTTTTATATAATCTCTCAGGTGCGGTTTATCACGAAGATCTGGCACCCCAACATCAGTTCAGTCACAGGTGCAATATGTCTGGACATTCTTAAAGACCAGTGGTGAGTGAATGTGCAACAGCATTCCTGACATTCTTACTGTATCTCGAAATACTCTTTTTCTGTAAAACAGTATTTCCACTGCCACATCCATTATCAGGTTGCCAGTTAATAATCCTCCCATCAGTAGTATATTGCCTCAACATGCATTGATCCAAAATTGACATTACACTTAAGAGTGACCTTTGTACCTTTTTCAGGGCAGCAGCTATGACGCTGAGGACAGTCCTCTTGTCACTACAGGCTTTATT